CTAGGTAACAGGGGCATCAGGGTGAAAGAAACATTTTGCCCATTTGTCTCCGCCTCCACCAGGAATCGAACCCGGAAATTCAGGACTACGAATCCGAAGCGCTGTCCACTCAGATGTCAGGCGCCTATTTAGCGTGTGTGTGTGTGTGTGTGTGTGTGTGTGTGTGTGTGTGTGTGTGTGTATCAAAATCAGTTGATTGACGGTTGAGAGGCGGGACCAAAGAGCCAGAGCCCCGCAAACACAACTAGGTGAGTACACACACACACACACACACACACACACACACACACACACACACACACACACACACACACACGCACACACACACACACACACACACACACGCACACACACACACACACACACACACACACACACACACACACACACACACTATACCCTTACTAACGGCTTGTCAGGTAAGACAGAAAAGCTAAATGAGGCTCCCGATCATTAATTGTGAAGCTGAATCAGTTCTCACTTATCAAAGGACAGTTTGCATTAGTAGCTGTCACGACTAACTACTTTGTGGCTATTACGGGTAGTTCAGTGTGTGTGTGTGCGCGCGCGTTCACGCGTCCATGTGTACTCACCTAGTTGTGCTTGCGGGGGTTGAGCTCTGGCTCTTTGGTCCCGCCTCTCAACCGTTATCAACTGGTGTACAGGTTCCTGAGCCTACTGGGCTCTGTCATATCTACATTTGAAGCTGTGTATGGAGTCAGCCTCCACCACATCACTGCCTAATGCATTCCACCTGTTAACTACTCTGACACTGAACAAATTCTTTCTAACGTGTCTGTGGCTCATTTGAGTACTAAGTTTCCACCTGTGTCCCCTTGTTCGTGTTCCACCCGTGCTAAATAGTCTGCTATTATCTACCCATCCAGGTACCTACAGCCACCCGGCTACCTATTACGAACAGTAACAGCTGACAAATATCTACGGTTTCTATGTATTGGTTGACAGGTTTGGTGGGCTGCTTGGGTTCGTAAAGTTTCCGGTTAACCTAAAATATTCCACATTTTTACGGAGTGACAAATCGCGAGAGCGGACGTTGGCGCAGCACTCCGGCGACAGCTCTAAGCTCCTATCCCTAGTTATCTTGAGGTTATCTTGAGATGATTTCGGGGCTTTAGTGTCCCCGCGGCCCGGTCCTCGACCAGGCCTCCACCCCCAGGAAGCAGCCCGTGACAGCTGACTAACACCCAGGTACCTATTTTACTGCTAGGTAACAGGGGCATAGGGTGAAAGAAACTCTGCACATTGTTTCTCGCCGGCGCCCGGGATCGAACCCGGGACCACAGGATCACAAGTCCAGTGTGCTGTCCGCTCGGCCGACCGGCTCCCAGTGGACGTAATACCCAAGAACGTCACCATCGTTGCTTGGAAGTAGAAGCAACGGCACCCCCCCCCCCCCCGCGCCGTGGACCCAGTACTCGAGACCCGCCAAAATACACCAGCTATCAGCAGGTGAGGACGCCAGACCTCGGCCCCACCTCTCCCCTCACAGGTGTACACTATATATTAAATTCCTGGAGTGTCGTGATGAAGTGTTGGTGGTTGTAGTGGGTGTTATTGATGGTGGTAGTGGTATGTCGGTGTCTGGGCTGCAAGTACTTCCAAATCTGCACACAGAAATAACTCCAAATGGGACCGGGAGGTATGGCAGGATGTGCAAAAAGGCCGCGTTGTAAAGCAGAAGTGAAATAGATACGCCGAGACAGAACTCAACAATATGAAGGACCGAGGCTGTTCAACACCTCCCTATACACACCAGGGGCATAACTGGCCGGCTCTCACGGTGTTCAAACTGAAACTTGATAAACACCTTCAAAGGATACCTGATCAAACAGGCTGTGATTCATACGTCAGACTGCAAGAAGCTGCGTCTAAAGGCCAGGTTGACCAGACCACCAAACAGGAGGCCTGGTCAAAGACCGGGCCGAGGGGACATGATATGTGGAACCCCCACAAGATAACCTATCAGTGACTAAGTGAGAGTGAGCTCTAGCTCTGCATGCCCCGCCCGCCACCCTTGTTGTACCTGTTGTGTTATAATTGAACTATTCTAAAGTTCAAACTATTTTGGTGGTAGTTTGTTTCTTGGTGGTTGGTGGTGTGGGTGTTGTTGATGGTATTATGGAGGTGGTGGTGGTGGTGGTGGTGTGGGTGGTGGTAGTGTACAGTGTGTTAGTAGTACTGTAAGGTCGTGGTGACTATGGTAATGGAAGCAGTAAGGAGCCTACTGGCACTATGGTGGTATTTGTGGTGGTATCTGGCGGTGAAGTCAGAGGGCCATCTTGCTGATACTCCAAGTGGCATGAGTGTCACATCCTCGCCTCCCACACACACCCCATATCATGTGACACTCCCCCTCCCCCCTCCCCCCCCGGCACACCACACACCATACTTGACACACAGTCACGCTTCTCTCACTTCCTATTCACCTAGGTTCTTAGAGACTCGAATTTCTCTCACCTTGTGTTATTTCAATTTTGAAATCCCATGAGGTATCCCAAGAGCCTGGGACTAACTGCCGACTTTCCCCAAGAGGCAACCCACAACAGTTGTCTAACTCCCGGGGCATCTATTTTACTGCTGGGTGAAGAGAAGCATTAGGTGAAGTGAAACGTTTCCCAACCGTTTCTGTCCCTCGGTTGTGAGGGACAGTGAACCCTGAGAACTGGGTCAGGGCCTGTAACCTGTAGCGAACTGTAACCTAAAGATACCAGTAAGGAGAACCCTTAAACCTTATTCAGTTCTTTCTTACCGTCATGACCCAGAGAAAGAGGAGAAGCCAAAGAAGGGAGGATTGACTGGGCACCAATTCTTAACAGTTCGCCTATGTTCTCCCCAGCAGTAATTGGGTACCTGGTTGTTAACCGACTGTCGGGTCGTGTTCCAGGGGTAGTAGTAGTAGTAGGTAAAGGCTTACCATGAGCTGTGAGAAAGCTTACCATGAGCTGTGGAAAGGTGCCCATGAGCTGTGGAAAGGTGCCCATGAGCTGTGGGAAGGTGCCCATGAGCTGTGGGAAGGTGCCCATGAGCTGTGGGAAGGTGCCCATGAGCTGTGGAAATGTGCCCATGAGCTGTGAGAAGGCTTACCATGAGCTGTGGAAAGGTGCCCATGAGCTGTGGAAAGGTGCCCATGAGCTGTGGGAAGGCTTACCATGAGCTGTGGAAAGGTGCCCATGAGCTGTGGAAAGGTGCCCATGAGCTGTGAGAAGGCTTACCATGAGCCGTGGAAAGGTGCCCATGAGCTGTGGAAAGGTGCCCATGAGCTGTGGGAAGGTGCCCATGAGCTATGGGAAGGTTTAGCATGAGCTGTGGAAAGGTGCCCATGAGCTGTGGAAAGGTGCCCATGAGCTGTGGGAAGGTGCCCATGAGCTGTGGAAAGGTGCCCATGAGCTGTGGGAAGGCTTACCATGAGCTGTGAGAAGGCTTACGATGAGCTGTGGGAAGGCTTACCATGAGCTGCGGGAACGTTCTCAGCCTGCTAACAAGAGTCAAAAGTCGTCTGCCCCTATACCCACCTGAGTAAAAAAGTTAAATCCTTTCCGCCAACGCCATGTTTACTAATGACCGTACCTGCATGAACTACTTGAGGTAGGCGAGTGTTAACAACCACTCCAGCGCCGCCGCGGGGCATGGTATAACTAGCTTCCAAACACATTTTTATTGTCGCTTAACCCAAATAGAGAAGCGGGAGGACACGAGACTTCCACGTTGGGTATTCCCTCGCTGTTTTGTTTGACACCACCATAAAACTTAATCTTCTGCCCGCTTCGTGTTGGCGAGGTAGTTGGGTTGTTTGTTGAGCGGGTCTCCTGGCATGTTGTGAGCTCTTGCCCCAAACAGCCCGGCACCTCATTCGACCCTCGCAAACCCCTCCAAACAGCCTGGTACCTCACTATTCCCCCCCCCCCCTACAAACAGCCCAGCACCTCATCAAACCCTTAGAACCTCTCCAAAGAACCTCACACTTCAACCTATCTGTTAACCCCCATCGGTTCACCCTCCAACTCCCCTCCTCTTCCCCTCCTCCAACTCCCCCTCCTCTTTCCCTCCTCCTCCCCTCCTTCAACCCCCATCCCCGCCCCCCCCTCCACCTTGTACTGCTGGGGTCAGACTCACGAGTGTGTTCTGCTGAGCGATATTGCAATATCGTTAACAATGATCAAGAATACAGTGGCAGTGCTCGCGCGCGTGTGTGGTCGCTTGTCCGCATCAACCTGCAATCACCTATTTGTGCTTGCGGGAATACAGCTCCAGCTCCTGGGTCCCCCCCCCCCAGCATAATATTCACTAATTCTGTGGGTGGGTATTTACTCTTCGTGCCTGTAAGGTCATATCTACCTTGAGGTAGATAGATCTACGACGTGTGTTTTTCTGTAACACATACACACACATCCCTGGGATGTAGCCCGTAGCAGCCGTCTATCTCTCAGGTACCCGTGTCTGTGTGTGTGTGCGTGCGTGTGCGTGCGTGCGTGTGCGTATGAGCGAGGCTACCAGCGCCCCTGCACATCACAAGGCTATGTAAAACAGGGCCAAATCCCTCACAGCTGCTGAAACAACATCGTTTACACACACGCAAGACGGTCGCAATTAACTACCGCGAGACGCGAATGGCTGTTTACGGCCCCTCTTAAAAGTGGTCGGCCAGCAAACTAGACGACCGGTCGGGTAGCACCAGCTACACGTCTGTCTGGCCGGTTAAACTCCCGAGGACCGGCCCACACGCCGGAAAAGGTGAGAGAAAAGATCGGGAAGAGAGAGCCGGACTTCTGGGAGGATGGTAGCACACTTGGCACTTGCTGGGTGATGTGGCACTGTGCGGTGGCACTCTAGGGAAGCTCAGCAGCCGGCCTGGGAACTATGGGGACCTGGATACAAATATAAACAGAGTTTATGTCCCCGAGAACCGGACTAAGAAAATATATATGATAGAAAACGAGACTAGTGAAGGGAGATTACGGGAAAAAGCAGTGACTACTTACTCGCACTCCCCCGGAATCTTGCAGGTCCCGTGCTCCGGGTGGCATCCTTGCTTGCAGATGGCTGTGGAGAGAGAGAGAAGACTCACACTGTTACTCATGTCTGGGTAAGACAATACTCTTGCCACTTATCTCTGTTGTACATGTTCCATTATAATAATACACAAATGGTAATGGGTGAAGTAATGATGGTTGATAATTACTAATACTACTAAAAGGTGTTACTGTTAAAGACAATAATATAAAATGATGACTAAAACCATACATCAGAAGATGGATAACGACGAAGTAAGGGTCCAAGACGGATCGAAACGTCGTCGTATCTCCATCTTCTGATGTGTGGATCTCCATCATACCTTCAGCCACGTTATTGTGGCTCATCGTCTACAATAATAGAAAATATACTACTACATAATACGTGCAGGCAAGCACAGTGTAGCTGAGGCAGCCCTGACACTGGCGGCAAACTGGGGAAGGTCTCTACATGGATCATGTTAGAGCAGGCGGGCGGGTTCGGGCCTTGTACGGAGGACTGGCCACAATTTAAGAGAGGTCTGATAGACCCATGTATCAGAGTGCGTAATTGGCAGATATATAACGATGCTGTAATGAGCAGGAATATTAATTGGGCTTCAGCCCATCGCCCTGAATCATGGCCCCTTGCGTGACGGTTGAGAGAGAGTCCCGCAAGAAGATATTTCAGGGCAGTTCATTTCTGTCCGCCTGTCATGAAGGCAAGACAGTGTTATGATAAGGGCGTGTGTGTGTGTGTGCGTGTGGGCGTGTGGGCGTGTGTGTGTGTGGGCGTGTGTGTGTGGGCGTGTGTGTGTGTGGGCGTGTGTGTGGGTGTGTGTGTGGGCGTGTGTGTGGGTGTGTGTGTGTGTGTGGGCGTGTGTGTGTGGGCGTGTGTGTGTGTGGGCGTGTGTGTGGGTGTGTGTGTGGGCGTGTGTGTGGGTGTGTGTGTGGGCGTGTGGGCGTGTGTGTGTGTGGGCGTGTGTGTGTGGGCGTGTGTGTGGGTGTGTGTGTGGGCGTGTGGGCGTGTGTGTGTGTGGGCGTGTGTGTGTGGGCGTGTGTGTGGGTGTGTGTGTGGGCGTGTGGGCGTGTGTGTGTGTGGGCGTGTGTGTGTGGGCGTGTGTGTGGGTGTGTGTGTGTGGGCGTGTGGGCGTGTGTGTGTGTGGGCGTGTGTGTGTGGGCGTGTGTGTGGGCGTGTGTGTGTGTGGGCGTGCGTGTGGGCGTGCGTGTGGGCGTGCGTGTGGGCGTGTGTGTGGGCGTGTGTGTGGGCGTGCGTGTGGGGGTGCGTGCGTGTGTGTGCGTGCGTGTGTGTGGGCGTGCGTGTGGGCGTGTGTGTGTGTGGGCGTGCGTGTGGGCGTGCGTGTGGGCGTGCGTGCGTGTGGGCGTGTGTGTGGGCGTGCGTGTGGGCGTGCGTGCGTGTGGGCGTGCGTGCGTGTGGGCGTGCGTGTGGGCGTGCGTGTGGGCGTGCGTGTGGGCGTGTGTGTGGGCGTGTGTGTGGGCGTGTGTGTGGGCGTGCGTGTGGGCGTGCGTGTGGGCGTGCGTGTGTGTGGGCGTGCGTGTGGGCGTGTGTGTGGGCGTGTGTGTGGGCGTGCGTGTGGGCGTGCGTGCGTGTGGGCGTGCGTGCAGCCGAATAACCCTCCCAGTGCGTGAGAGACCTCCACCAGATTTGGGCAAACCAGGATGGAATAGCTAAGGAATAATTACACACTGCCTACCAACACAGGCTGCTTGGCCACTTTCCACTTTGGCGTTGAGGAGTTCCAGGGTGGGGGGGTGTCTATGAGGATGGGGGGGGGGGAGGTAGGAGGGGGGGGGGGGGGGGGGAAGATGGTGGGGATGGGAGTTAAGGTCTAGAAGTTGGGGTTGTGTAGTTAACAACCCCCACTCCTGACAGTAAGAGTCAGGGGATAGGGTTAGGGGGAGATGGGTTGTAGATGTGAGAGGGGTTGGTGATGGGGGTACCAACCCCATTCCTACCCCTCCACCAACCAACCAACCAACCATACATTGGTTGGTTGGTGGGGGGAAGGGGGGGGGGTAGGGCAGCTGTTGTTCTCAAGAGTACCATCTTAGCAAGAGAGAAAAATTCTGAGAAACAATACATTAATGTTTGAGAGTAAGAGCAAGAAAATGCAGACATCTTGAGCCCGGGATTTAAACTTCACTTTAAAACCAACAAATTACTGAGTGCTCAACGTGGCTATCTGCCTGAAAATGGCCCACTAAAAGTCTGATAGTTATTTTAGCATAAATCCTAGCCTGGCTAGGATTTATACGTGTTCATTAGCATAGGTATAAGCGGTAGAAAATGGGGGTTGAGAGGCGGGTGGTGGTAGGAGGCACTACTGTATGTAAATGACTTGCAACAAGGCCTCGACCAATCTACAGTCAAGATTAATTTTTTCACTAATATACCCACGGTCTTCCTCTCTCTCTCTGTCTCTCTCTCTCTCTCTCTCTCTCTCTCTCTCTCTCTCTCTCTCTCTCTCTCTCTCTATCTCTCTCTCTCTCTCTCTCTCTCTCTCTCTCTCTCTCTCTCTCTCTCTCTCTCTCTCTCTCTCTCTCTCTCTCTCTCTCTCTCTCTCTCTCTCTCTCTCTCTCTCTCTCTCTCTCTCTCTCTCTCTCTCTCTCTCATTACATTCTTCAATAATCCATTATATTTGACATTTATATTATAATCCTTTATATTTGACAAAAATCATTATTTTAAACGCCCAGTACATGTTTAAAACTACAATGCTAGGTTTGTAATTTTAATCAAATTCCCTGAGGACTAGTTTGGCTACCAGGGGCTACCGTCCACCCACAATCTGGGCTACCATGAAAGCATAGACCTCCCCCTCCTCCCCCCCCCCCCCCCCAGCTCCCCCTGGGTGTATAAAGATACTTTATTCGTGTCGTCACGGCCAGGAGATAGGCAGATGAGGGCCAGGAGAAGGAGAGACGAAGAGGGAAAAGGTGGGAGGAGAGAGAGAGAGAGGAGGTGGTGATGCCATTGTCTCAGGAAAGTCTTGCGTATCGTAGCATCATCTTCCTGGCGGGGTGTGGACGGCTGCCTCCATCTTCTCCATTGATCGTTAATGGAATGATTTCGTCGCGATTATTTACCCCGTCAGCTGATGTGTGGGGCGAGGCAGCCTGATGGATACATTCTGGGCTTTATCTTTTGTTACCCGGCCTGGAGGCACAGCTGGCCTCCCTAGAGGCACAGCTGGCCCCCTAGAGGCACAGCTGGCCCCCCTAGAGGCACAGCTGGCCCCCCTAGAGGCACAGTTGGCCCCCCTAGAGGCACAGCTGGCCCCCTAGAGGCACAGCTGGCCCCCTAGAGGCACAGCTGGCCCCCCTAGAGGCACAGCTGGCCCCCTAGAGGCACAGCTGGCCTCCCTAGAGGCACAGCTGGCCCCCTAGAGGCACAGCTGGCCCTCTGGAGGCACAGCTGGCCCCCTAGAGGCACAGTTGGCCCCCCTAGAGGCACAGCCGGCCTCCTGGAGGCACAGCGGAAGGGGCTTCAGCAAGATAAAGTCCCCTCAATTAGTTGGCAGATATTTCTCCTTCCCCCTAGGAAGAGGGGAAGGAGGAGACGTTCATCTGGTTGATGGGGTTCTGGGAGTTCTTCTACTCCCCAAGCCCGGCCCGAGGCCAAGCTTGACTTGTGAGAGTTTGGTCCACCAGGCTGTTGCTTGGAGCGGCCTGCAGGCCCACATACCGACCACAGCCCGGTTGATCCAGAACTTCTTTTAGAAAAGTCTAGTTTTCTCTTCAAGATGTCTACGGTTGTTCCGGCAATATTTCTTATAGTCGCTGGGAGGACGTTGAAGAGCCGCGGACCTCTGATGCAGGTCCACCACGGTCCAGGTCCACCATGGTTCAGGACCACCTCGGTCCAGGACCACCTCGGTCCAGGTCCACCACGGTCCTGCTGCTCTTGGTCCAGGTCTGGGCGTAAAAATTGTGGTGGATTAAGGAAATTAAAACCACCACAATATTGACGGTTCAATTGGCTAAAGATTATCGGCTCGGGAATGGTAGGTGGGTTGCGTAGGTTACGTCGTTACTAGTTAGGTTAAACCGCTATGTTTTGTACGGAGTGGTGGTTGTCGAGAGAACGGGTAAATACACACACGGTGGTGCAGCTCGACACCCACAACAGGTACACTGATCACTTCTCAATTCCTCACTCTGGAAAGAACACAACTTTTATGTCTTTTTCTGTGTCCGTTGCATAGAAACGACAATATTACGATGCTTTAAATTGGCTAATACGTTGTATTTCGAACGGATTAAAAACGGAACTTTTAACGGATCCGTTAATTGTTCTTATCAAAGGCACGAGAAGAATAACAACAGAGGTACAGTAAGTGGAGACTTGGGCTGCCGTGTGGACACTGGCCGGGCTTGTGGGGGGGGGGAGGGGAGGGGGGGAGGGGCCAGGCTGACAGACAGACAGACAGACAGACAGACAGACAGACAGACAGACAGACAGACAGACAGACAGACAGACAGATAGACAGACAGACAGACAGACAGGGCAGTGTGTGAGGCAGGAGACACGGTGATGGACGCGCTCCTCACACCCACAACAAATTTGCATGCATAATCAATGTGCTGCATGCGATAATCTCGCCGTAAAATGCCACAGGTCTTAAGTTGAGAAGAGCATCCCCACCTGTGCGCCCCTCTGACGTCACGGGTGGGCGTGGAAGGTGGGCGTGGAAAGTGGGCGTGGTTTGTTTTGAGGCTGGTTCACCAGAGGCCGCAATGCCATTTTATTCAACACCGACACCCACTCATTCACACTACACCCACTCTTCCTACATACATATGTCACACCCCTCATGCGACACTTTACCCCATACACCTATTTTACACCTACAGTTAACACTGGTGGGCGTGTGGGTGAATAGGCACCAGTAAACGGGATAAAATGACTTAGTGTACAGTAGTGTATATAAGAAGCCACCAACAACTAGCTGTATCCACTACTATCCCCCCAGCCAACACTACACACACTGGCATCACTCGAATCCCCCGTGCCGGGCACTAGCTCTTCCA